TCATTCTGGCGATAGACAGAGACAACTGTTGTATTGTCTTGCTGATTTCAAATTGACTGTCCTCGGCCAATCAACAGTGCTATATATAAAATATATAAATAGGGCTACATGGAATATAAAGAAACAGTATTATCTTTAAAAATATGAAGAAATAATATTATCTTTAAGATCCCAAACACTATATTTGAAATCTCTGTACTAACGATATATATTTAACAATGTGCTATTCATTTCATTAACTTACATTCTCCCAACTGTAAAATAAGGTAAACAATAACTATCCATTTTGAGTCCCTAATATTCTAAAAATAAAATTGTAAAGCAAAATACACTATTAGATAGCACTGTAGTACTGTCCTCCCATTGTTCATTGACTTGCTTTAGTAGGCACGAGTAACGTCTCCATTTGTGAGACTTGTTGTTACTGTTTTGGCATATCAAATACACCACAGGGAGTTTGCCAGGCTCTTCCGTGTGGGCGGATACTCTCAGTAGCTTGCTGGGCTCTCTGAGAGGGATCAAGGAATCAAACCCTGGTCGGTCGCGTGCAAGGCAAACACCCTACCGACTCTGCTATCGCCCCAACCTTGATTTTAAGGCTTTGTTTCAAGCAGTAAGTTAAAACACTATAAGTTACATGCAGATAAATATTATTGGGAATCTTTGTCTCTCAGACATCATATATAAATGTCTGGTGTATTTACTTGTGATAAACTCTGTAAAATAAGTAAGCAACTGTGTAAGAATTCATCTCTGCTTTCCCAAAAATATACACAATGGCAAAGGAATGATGCTTTCCCCTGTATTCCAGAGGCCAAAAAGGAATTGGAATGGCAAGTTACAGGTTATTCCTTGGAGGTTTTGGCATTGGCCTCTGTGGTTTGCATGTTGAGTTTTGAAAGGGAGAGGCCTAACAAGAGGCCCTGGGCTAGTGCAGTCAGGGCTGATGACAGGAGAACATCTGTCACCAAGTTGGCTGAATCAGGGGTATAAAGATAAAATCTCTGGAGATCTATTTATTTCCCTTGTCCATCATGATATCTTCCCTGTGGGTCCTTTTCTATAAACTTAAGTTTTGAAGATTATGTCCCAGCAAAGCAGACCTAGACTGAGCAGCCAACCGGGTTCAGGGCTCATGGTCATTGAGAATCCCACTCACACATTGCTCTGGGGCATAAGTCCTCTGAAGAGACAGCCACAGCCTTCCATCATCTCGGTTATGCTCCTCAGCATTTCTCTGGGGTTAGGCTATTAGGGAAACAAAATCAGCAGGATTTACACCGTCTCATAGAAGGTGACCTGCTGCTATGGCTCTGTCCTGCTGCCTCTAGTTTCTGTCCCCAGGGGTAGTGGGTATAGTATTGAGGAAAGTGAGGCAGAAGCACCGGTGGTGGGTCTGTGTTAGTTTGAAGTTCCAGGTCCCTCAATATTTTCAAGAATGAAAATAATGAATAATAAAGATGCTCAGATTCAGAATTGGAAAACAGAAAAGTTTATTGGAAAGTAGAAAATAAAAGAAAAGGACCTCCCCAAGTGGGGAGGGACTTCATATAGGAGTTAAATTTTATATTTTTATTTTGGGGTTATACTCGGCAATGCACAAGGGTTATTCCTGGCTCTTTACCTAGTAATTACTCCTGGCGGTGTTCGGGGGACCATATGGGATGCTGGGAATCGAACCCAGATCGGCAGCATGCAAGGCCAATGCCCTATCCGCTGTGCTATTGCTCCAGCCCCAAGTAGTTAATTAACTATGGCTCTTTTTGTGAGATTTCAATAGGATGAAACCCATCTTTGTGTGAGAGAGAATTCAGGGAATATAGAGGGTGGTGGGGTTTGCTTAAGTATATCCGGCCATCTGCGTTAGGTATTGTCCATTTTCTTAGTCTCCCTGTGAGCCTCAGTTCTGGGGCAGAATTATATGATGAACATGATATGTTTTCTGATATGTTTATCAGAAAAGCCTAGGGACTTGCAGGGAGTCAAAAATGGAGGATGGGTCAGCCAAAAGCTGGACTACTCACAACAACTGGCAAAAGTAAACTGAGGCTTTCTCTTTCAGCATCAGAATTTGAGCCTAAGTAGTTACTGATGATGGCTGGCACTGGGGATGCCACATCTCTGCCAAGGGCTGCATACCACTCTGGGCAACCTCACCAAAGACACGTTGATACAACTGATGCTACCTCAAAGACCTACAGCTCTTGCACAGCCTCCTTTGTGGGAAAGTGGGACCACAGATTGTGCCCCCAAACTCCTACCAGGAATTCACTGCCCATCTTGGGAAGACCCACAGAAGTCTGTGTTGCAGAGGACCCTGGCTCCAGCTGTGGCCAACAAAAAGTGTTTATGCATGAAAAATAAAACAAGTAACCCAGGGGGAAAATCATTTTTAAGTTTATTAAGCTAGAAGTTCTTTGCCTTAGGGGCCTAGTGAACCACTGCATACTTCAACAGTTTTATGCACATTTTTTTTTACATTTTAGAGATAGTGACTTCATATCAAGGGCCACTTTAATGTTATCTAAGTGTTCTGTAAAACTAGGTTTCAATTTTTTGTGTATTGAAATACTGTCTACAAATGCTACTTTGAATACATTTCACACTGGATCTAATCTTTGGAACCCTGCTTAAAATTATGTCCAAACACTGCTGCCATAAAACATTGCTTCTTTTCAATAAGTTAATTTAAGTATACACCAAGATACCATGTTTCTTCAAGCCCTTGGACATAGAACTGGAAGTTTGGTAATACAATGATTTCCCCGAGAATACAAAAACAGGTGCTCATATACAATGCTGCTGGCCTAGGAAATTGCTTCAGTCTCTACAGAGGACAAGAGCTTCCTGATGGTGATAATCCCATCACTGTGTGAACATGTGTATCTTTGACGCTGTAAATACTTCTTTGCATTAATATGACAAATAAATCATAGATATATACATAGAGTGAAAAAAACAAAAGTGCATAACAGCATCCAAGTGCAATAATATTTGAATAAAAAAATAAGACAGGAACATCAACCTATCTATCCATATTTTATATATAAAAGATATACTACTATACATAGATAGAGGGGGAGAGAAAGACAGAAAGAGAGAGAGGGAGCGAGACAGAGACAGAGAGACAGAGACAAAGAGGCAGAAAGAGAGAGAGAGAGAGAGAGAGAGAGAGAGAGAGAGAGAGAATTGAGGGGGCAGAATTGGACCACACCCAGTTGTATTAAGGACTTATTCCTGGATCTGTGGTCAGGGATCACTCCAGGTAACTCTTGGGGGACAAGATGGGGTGCCAGGGATTGAGACTGAACCTGAGTCAGTATGCAGGTAGCAAGTCATTGTATATGTAATTTCTGGAAGAATACAGAAAAAATTGTCAACATTTGTTACTTCTCAGTGGCTGAAAGAAAAGGTAGGATACCAGTGTGTGAAGGGGGCTGGAGCGATAGCACAGCGGGTAGGGCGTTAGCCTTACAAGCGGCCAACATGGCCGACCCGAGTTCGATTCCTCCGCACCTCTCAGAGAGCCCGGCAAGCTACCGAGAGTATTCGATATGCCAGACACAGTAACAACAAAGTCTCCAATGGAGACGTTACTGGGCCCGCTCGAGCAAATCGACGATCAACGGGAGGGCCTTTACCAGTGTGAAGAGGGAAGATAAATATGTCTGTATAGATAGATATGAAGACAATACATATACATATATATGTTTACATATATAGGTATATATATATATTTTACATACTTCTATTTCATGAATGGTGCAGAGAAAAAGTCTATGAATTTACAAAAGTACTGTAAAATATAAATATATATATTTTTGCAACTTATTTTCTTTGATAACTCACAACATAGTATCTATTTATGTACTAATTCAAATAAATCTAATAAATACCAGGGATTCAGACAAATTAGAAATGGCTGAACTTTCATCTATGAGAATAAAAAAAATTCTATAACATCTCATACTTGTATATTCAAATTTTCAATAAAATTTCCAGGGTTTTATCTGTTAAATAAAGAGATGTATTCAAATTTTTGCAATACCCTTTTGCATATATTATTTCAGCTATTGTTGATACCAGGATGGAAATTTTTAGTATGATATTATGAATTTTGTTTTGTTTCAACATTTTTTTCCTAAGGGTCACACTCACTGGGGCTCAAGGGACCCAGTTTCCTCTGGTAATGATCAGCCCAAAGATATGGTCCTGATGGTTGAGTAGTTAGCCTCAGCACTATGACTGGTGGTCTCTTTATCCAGTATTGCTGGGCTTGCAACTTGGGGTATCACACCTTCTAGTCAAGTGTTTCAGTGCTTACACTCATATCTTTTTAAATAAACTATCACTAACACTGGGAAAGACTAGCTCTGGTTTAAGTCAAGGCTTTAATAATGCTAAAAACTGGTTATTTATCTTTATATTCAATATACTTTGTATTTAAATGTGTTGGCAATGAAGATAGCTTTTTAGTCTAACTAATGACACAGACATAAGAAACAAAATACACTAAGAACAAGATATAGTGTTATTTAAAAAAGAATCTATATCCATAAGTCACACAGATTATCTCTAAGCCTAGAACAGAGGGAGCAAAGTAGCTGCTTCTTTGTCTTTTTTCAAATGAAGTAATGGCTTTATCATTACTTGTAAGAAGTAATGAATTATTAATTTATCCTGAAATTGACTGATAATTTTGCACACATCTGGATTTTCATCTTTCTGTGATGTGCAGACTCTGAAGTCATAGTTAATATCACTTCAGCTCTGCTGTTGCAGACATCAACCTAGAAAGCACAAAGCATTCTAAGAAGCAATTATTCATTATGTGCATTTGAAAGCAACAGAATTAGGCAATTTGCTTGAATGGAAGGAAATCTACTACAGAAAAGCAAAAGCTCATTTTCATGTTTCTGATCATTTGAAGAGTGAAAATCATCAATGATTAAATTCCTTGACCAATTCAGGTTTACATTTTGTTATTCTTAAGAACTTACAAGTTTGACAATGATTTTCTGTGGGTCCCCAGCATCGGCCAGTACAGGACTTATGGCAACGACCACCTATAAAGCAACAAAAAACACATGTGCATTATAACTTTCACTCTTGGAATAGAAGAAACTCCTCAAAAGAGACATTCTTTCTCATTTATGGGGATTTTTATATCACACAAGAGTTTAAATATAATCCATAAAATTCCCACTCAAGTAGCAAAACCTGAATGCCAAATATAGGTGAAACTAAAGTACAGTATACTGATATTTAAACCCTCAACATTTTATATTAAAAATGTGTCCATAAATTCTCCAAGTTGGAAGTAAATACTTATGCTAAATAAATTTTACTTTAAATATTAATCATATATATTCTATTGATCAATTCGACTTGAAATATCTTTAAAAGTTCATGATTTACTGATGGGCTGGAGTGATAGCACAGCGGTAGGGCATTTGCCTTGCTCTCAGCCAGCCTGACTGAGCCAGGTTCGATTCCTCTACCCCTCTCGAGAGCCTGGCAAGCTACCGAGAGTCTCTCGCCCGCCTGGCAAAGTCTAGCAAGCTACCCATGACGTAGTCAATATGCCAAACACAGTAACAAGTCTCAAAATGGAGACGTTATTGGGCCTGCTCGAGCAAATCAATGAACAACGGGAGGACATGTTTATTTACTGATACCTAGCGATATTAAGTTAAGAAACAGAAACAAGTTGAAATCTCTGAAAATATGAACATTTTCTCACTGAACTTGGGGCTGGAGCAATAGGACAGCAAGTAGTTAGTGTACATGAGTTGCACATAGCCAACCTGGTTCAACCCCTAGCACCCCACATGGTTTCCTGGACCCTCTATAAGTAATCCTTGAGTCTAGAGGCAGCAGTAAGCCTTGAGTACTGCAAAATGTGGCTCAAAACAAATAACCAAAAAAATCATCTGAATGAAAAGTTGTACAATCTGGATCACATCTTTGTAAAAATAGCACTGTAGCACTGTCCTCCCTTGTTCATTGATTTGCTCGAGCAGGCACCAGTAATGTCTCCATCGTGAGACTTGTTGTTACTATTTTAGCATATGGAATATACCACGGGAGTTTGCCACGCTCTGCCTTGTGGGTGGGACACTCTCCATAGCTTGACGGGGTCTCTGAGTGGGATGGAGGAATAGAACCAGGGTCATTCTCATGCAAGATTAACACTCTACCCGCTGTGCTATAAAAGTGTAAAATAGTGACTAGAGTCCAGTTGCCTTGCATGCAGCCAGCCCTGGTTCAATTCCCAATACCACATTTGGCACTCTGAGCCCACCAGCATGATCCCTGAGTTCAGAACCAGGAGTATGCACTGAACAGAGCTGTGTGCACTCCCCTTCTCCCTACATAAAAGCAAACAAAAATTTGCCTAATTTCAATTATTTGCTATTTTCTGAAAATATTTTTATTGACACTACCTTTTTTCCATATATATCAGTCTTTATCCCTGACACAACATAATCTTCTTGCTTATGAAATCGTCTTCACTGCACATTCCCTCAATAAATATAATTGTCCCACACAAACAATGTCATAGCCACGCAACAGAAAATATCTGCAGAAGAAATAATGCTTGATGACTTTCGTTGCTGTTTTATAGATTGGGGCACAAAGCTATGGAATGACAGAAAAGGCTTATTTTAACTAAAATTTAATATATGGAAATATATTAAAAACTCAGCTCTCTTTTCTCTCACCCTTCACTACCTCTCTTTTTCTTCTCTTCCTCTCTCTTCTCTTTTATCTCTATTTTCTCTCTCATCCTCCTTTTTTAAGAAAGTGTCTGAGTAAACTTACTATGAGAAATGTTTTCAAAATTAAAGAATAGATTCAGCAGACACTTTTCCAGGGTGAGCTTCACACTTTCCATTAGGGTCATCTCTTCTGGAAGTGAACAGTACAATTTCCAGATTCATCTAACACTTATTTCCCATTCACCTTCTTAAAACTATCATGATCCTTGCCACAAAAGAGTTTATTTAAAGCAATTCTGTTTGTGAGGCATTGTTGCTGACATCACCAGCATATAATATCCTGTCACTCTGCCATCTGTTTATTTAGATCCAAACACATTATAACTGCATAATGCAAACTCATTCTAGCTGACAGGAAAAGAACTCCATCTGGCCTGAACAATATAACTTTAATCAGTGATAATGATAATTATTATTAAAAACCTACTGGTGTTCTTTTGTACAAAGCTAATAAATCTAAATTGATTTATACCAGCGGAAATTAGAAAGGACACTGAGACAAAGTGGGAAGGAGGGAAAATTTTTAAGTTCAAATTTTTATGAGAAAATAGCTAATGTTAATGTTTTTTTATGCATGTTGAAAAAAATGCTTTACATAGATGCATTGAGTGGTGTGTTAATGGAAGGTATCTAAAAGATAATAATTTAATCTATGACTTAATTGTGTTTGGGATTAATGCATTATCTGGTTTAGTTCTAAATGGGCAGAGAATTACCATTTTTCTATGGATTATCATTCTTTAACTAGTTTGGGGCTAAAAAGAAAAACAAAAAGCTAAGAAAATCAGACACTTTATTTTTATCAATTTTCTCCTGTTCATTGGACTATACATTACTTCATTATTTGCACAGTTTCAATTTACCATCCCAGATCTGATACATTAGTCCTAGATCCGATATATAAAGTCCTATTACTAGAAATTTGGTTTATAGCTCTTGACAAAGTACCATGGCATGCTTTACCCTGTTGGGAACAAATATTATAATGCACACACAAAGAAAAAGTATAAGTAATTTCACCCTGACTAGCAACATGCCTTTATGATATTTTGCATACAAGTTTCCATTGTTCAGTTACACTCAAACAGAAGCATCTATTAATACCATAATATGAAGAAAACAGGATCAAAGACAGGACTTAAAGTTTTTGCTTTGCATGTGGCCACCTCCAATTTCATACTGGAACTATATGGTACTCTGAGTACTTCCAGGAGAGATCGCTGAACACAAAGCAGGGGATAGGCTCAAGTACCAGTGAGATCTCAAAGGCTCAAACAATTCCCCTACCCATCCACCCCTAAAAAATGAAACCAATGATAACTTTGAGAATTTAATCAGTCTTTTATTTCTACCAACAAAGAGGAAAATCACTTGGTCCACATTTCATAATTTCATTACTTTATATTTTCTAGGGAAATGATGCTTGAACATATACCTCCATGATAGCAATTCTATTTGTGGTGACATCAATGTCTTCAATCCCTAGATCCTTTGGAATTGTTCTGTCATTATGATCAAACTTGGTTTCAAATTGTGCAATAGTACTTGCGTTTATATTGTTTTCACTGAGTTGTTGCAATTAAGTATAAAAATATCTGATGAAAACCTCAGACTAGAAATAATTCTTTATTAATGCATTCTCCATAGTTGTAAGCTTGTAATGCTAGTTCAATTATTGTAGATGATTGGATAATACAGTTTTATGGCCTATATTTAAGTGCATTTTTAAAATTTGTTTTCAAATTTTCTGCTGGATGAGAATGACAAAAGATGACCGGGTTGATAAAGACTTTCCATGGAAATAATCTATCTGAAATAGGAAAATTAAAACTTTCTGCAAACCATCTTATCTAATTTACATTTGGAATTTCTTGTCAATACCATCTTCATCAGTAATAGAAATTATGCTAAGTATGGAAGTTAAATATCAAACTACAATAGATGTAATCATTACTATTTTTGAAAAAAAATTAGAATTAAATCTAATTCTTATTTTGAAGATGATAAAGTTTTGATTATACTGTCTACTTATTCCTCTTTGCTAGGTTTCAGCAAAAAAGTCATTAATTTTAACAGTCCCTATATTCAGGACAACAGAGATGAATGAAGTATGCATGAATAAGGACAGGGTTTCTCAAACTTTTTAACAAAATGATTCTCCTTTCACACCTGTGTCCTTCGTGTGCCTTCCCCAAACCCCACCTACCCATTTTCTACCAACTAATTAGCTCCCTAATTTTGTGCTATGGGCCCCCATTTATATATTTTTCAACTATGCCCCCCTTCAAATATCCTGGAGATCCCAAGGAGACCATATGGCTCTCATCTGAGAAACACTGAACTAGATCATTTCTAGTACAATGTCTGTTAGCTTGGCAGTCTACCCACTTCTAGTTCAAATGTACCCATGTGGCATCATAAATAAGCTCACCCAGAGAATTTTAGTGATGAGGACAAGCATGGTGTTCAAAGGATAACTTGTTTATCTCCTAACAGTAAGCAAAAGAGAAAGACCTTAACTATTGTCTGATATCTTAGCCGGAAATTTCCTCAAGTCCTCAATTTTCAGGTACCAAATATCTTTGGGAGGAATGACTTCATTGGGAAAAGAGGCTGTATATGAAATACTATTTTAGAATACATTACTTGTTTAAACTACTTATTAAGTAGCATGCTTTTTAAATGGAGATAGGAAAGAAGAGGAATTAAATACTACACTACAAAAATGATAGAAATGTTTGTGCACTAAGGTTTTGCTTGTCTCTATTCAAATCTATCCCCATGTCTCTGTCTGCTTGGTCATTAATTTCTCCTATTGGCTTTGATAAATTCTTTAGAAACTGCATGAGAAAAAAATATGCCACTTTTTAATTTAAAAGTGAAGAAGCTGACATTTCCATTCAGCATAATGATAGCATCACTCTTTAAATTAATATTTCCACCTACTGTCATTGTGATTCAATAAACGAGGTAAAGTAGAAAATAAAATAAGAATTTGAAGTCATATTTCCTTTATGTTATCAGACATTTTGGTCTCTGAAAATATGTCCTGATTGTTGCTCCACAGCTGTATTCGAATTCACAATCACCTATGCTTCAACAATGTAATATTCACAGTAGAAGTGAACAAACATGACTAAGAGCATCTTTTATGCCTGACCAGCAGATGTAGCATAGATTTTGATTTCAGTTTTTAGGAACTAGAGTCCTTGAGCCACTTTGATATTTGCAAGAGTCATAAATCCATGCTAGAAGTTTTGCTTGTTTGTGTGACTGTCTGACAG